GGTAGTTCGCCGGTGTGCATCATCGGATGGTCCCGAGTTCGATTCTCGGAGCCGGCACGATGTTTTTCTTAGGCTTCTCCCTTTCGATGCTTACTGCTGTAGACTCTCGGATCTTCGACAAACCGCCTCTACTCTACATCTACGTACTCCTCCTCTCCTTCGTGGGTGGTTTCAACATGCTCAATGTTATCATTTCCAGTTTTGTCTACTTCACTGGTCATAGGATTCTCTCCAAGACTCGGAAAGGGCCTAAGGATAATGCCCGGGACTTCGTCGCCTTCTGGGACAACGGGACTTACGCGTTTCTGCGGCGGTTAAGTCGGGACTACTTTGTTCTCTCTATTCCAATGTTCCTGATCGCCGTTGGCGTCCAGCTCCTCGCTGTTATGCCTCTCGCTCTTGGCACTACCGCTTTCATCGTCCTGCTCTTCCTCGGTGCTCTTGGTTTCAAATGTTCTAACGTTCTGCAGAAGAGCATGGGGGCCAAGCCGCTGAGGGCAGCAACGGTGGAGTCGGCGCAGGTTGTTTTGTACTTTGCTAAAGAGCTGCTGGCTACTCACTGTGGGCTATTCAAACAGTCAGAGAGTGAGGACGAATTTCATGGAATTCTGAAGTCGTCTTGGAGTTTCACAAAGAAGGAGCGTTGACAGCAGTTTATTCATAGTAACCTTTGCACTGTGCAGCCTTCTCGTTTCTCACTGTGTCTTTGTTGTGTTGGGCTCACCATAGAAGTGACAGCTTCTGCTTGTGAGTGTGCATGACTGAGAGAAGGAGTGCGAGAGTGGCTGCCCAGGTCGCTGCACGGCTTGAAGCTGAGAAGCCCAAGGCGAAGCCTGAACCCCCCACAAAGCGGGGAAAGGTCAAGGTGGAGAATGCTGAGGATCAGGGCAAGAAAAGGGCTGACTCTGTGAAGCCCAAGGCGAAACCTACTAAGAAAAAGGCTAAAAAAGAAGAGGCGATAGTGAGGCCCCCTGTGGACGAGCACTGCCCTAAGGCAGATGAGTATAGAGTGTATGTTGATGGTGAAGGTGTAGTCTGGCATGCTCTGCTCAACCAGACGAATTTACGGCAAAATAACAATAAGTATTTCAAGTTGCAACTACTAGAAGATGTGCAGACGCCGGGCCACTGCATAGCGTGGTTTCGGTGGGGGCGGGTCGGCTATACTGGCCAGATGACCAGTAAAGGAGATGACTTGAGCACGGCTAAGCAGGCCTTTGAGCAGAAATTTTCCGATAAGACTGTGAACGATTGGCACGCTGTAGCGACTGGTGAGGTGCCGTTCAGCCCTAGAGCTAACAAGTGAGGCTTCGACTTATCGGTTCATGTCGTGGAATATCCATACGGTTATATTCCTTATATATGGCCGGCATCAGGTATACTTATGTGAAGCAGGATTTCTCGGGAGGACCTGTGGAGAAGCAAGAGGTGGAGAAAGTGAAAGCGGACGTCAAGGTGAGGGCTCTGAGGTCGTACACGTTCAAACAGTGGGTATGTGTTAGGTCGAGGATACTAAGCTGGATGAGCAGCTGTATGGTCTGATAAAGATGATATGCGATCGCCAGTTGATGGTGGACCATATGAGGGCCTCGGGTGTGGATGTTAACAAAATGCCCTTGGGGAAAATCTCGGAGGATATGATCAAGGCTGGTGAGAACAGTGTTGGGATATTCGGTCGTCTCCCTCAGCTGAGCCTAGGAGTTTCCCCACTAATTATGGAAATTTACGCACGAATTTGCATAGAAGTGTGCAGAAACAAACCAGAATTTTCCGAAATTTGCTCGGAATGTTCATATTGTCATCAACACACATAGTTGACCATGTGCATTTTTTTCTACAAGGGCTACAACGCTTCCTTTTTTCTATTTTTTTTCTCTTTTTTTCTTTTTTCACTTTCCTTCTTTTCTTTTCTTTTTTTTCTCTTTTCTTTGTCCGACTATCTTCAGGCTATGAGGCGTTGCAAGCCATCGAGGAGGAGCTGAGGAAACCCAAACCGAGTCGGTCTCATCTATTGGACCTCAGCGGTCGCTTCTACACAGTTGTGCCGCACGACTTTGGATTCAAAAAGTGATCCCTTGGAAACTGCAAAAGGGCGGCACATTTTCCCTCAGAATGTATTACTTCATCATTGACTCGGAGGAAGTGCTCAAGCAGAAGATGCAACTACTGGAGGACTTGCAGGATATGGGCAAGGCTAGTGAGGTGAACTGAGTGTTGATATGACTAGTTTAAAATTGGCAGGTTGCTTGTGGTAGGTTATGGAGGATTCAAGCATGGCTGTGAAGCAGGAGGATGTGCTTATTCCGAATCCCGTTGACATGCAGTATCAAAGGTAACTGTGAGTAATTTGAACTCAATTTTCGAAGTGTATTAACTCAGGCTTCATTGCGACCTGGAGGCGCTTACGCCCGAGGACGAAGAATTCAAAATGATAGAGAAGTATATGCTCAATACTCATGCATCCACACACAACGACTTCACGGCCAAGCCATCGGCGATATTCAGAGCTTGCAAGGCGAGTGAGGAGGATGAGTGGAGTAAAGACTGTCCCAAAGAGGCGAGGAAGGACCGTATGCTGCTGTGGCATGGTTCACGACTTACCAATTGGTGTGGTATCCTGAGCAGTGGTCTCCGCATTGCACCTCCTGAGGCGCCAGTGACGGGCTATATGTTTGGCAAGGGCCTGTACTTTGCCGACTCCTTTAGCAAGAGCGCCAACTACTGCTTCGCCACGCAGAAGAACAATAGAGGGTTGATGCTTTTATGTGAAGTAAGATCGGCTAAAGGGGTTTCACATCGGCTCGTATAAGCACGTTTTGCTCAGCCGTGAGGTCGTAGGTTCGAACCTCACTGCGGGTATATTATGCATAGAATTGATTTTCGATACAGTCTCGGAATACTCCCATTTCTATGGGTCAGGTAGCCCTGGGTCGCTCTCGTGAATATACCGAAGCAGACGGGCGGGCAGCTTCCAAACTTGGGAAGGGAAAGAAGGCATTCTATTCCACCAAGGGCGTTGGTCGAAGCGGCCCCGATCCGGAGGAGATGCTGGTTATGAAGGACGGCCTCAAGGTGGGGCTGCGACTTGACACCTGTTATGAAGCATCTTCATCAGCAGCAGCATGGTTCAGGTCCCTCTGGGTAAGATGATCGAGCTAGTATCGGGAGAGAAGGAGAAGCAGTTGTCGCTTCTTTACAACGAGTACATTGTGTATAGTACGTGCCAAGTGAGGATGAAATACCTCGTGGAGGTCGACTTCACATTCAACGACGGCAGCATGTGGTGAGCATATTAACCACGATCTAGTGTGCAAGTAGTATCGTGTAGATTAGACATTTTCGAATTAGTTTCATCCACGAGGCAGGAGGGCGTTGAGTTCTGGCTCGGCCGGTGTTGGAATATATGTTCGCTTTCCTCACTGGTTATATGAGTTTACATACGAATTCGAGTAGGAATGTATCGATTTTATCAGAATTTCCATATCGTCACCGTCACATGTAGTTGACCAACGTGCATACTTCCCCACGCTCGGATTACCGCGCCTATGCTTTCTGCTGTACAGTTGTCAGTTTTTGTATCATGCAATGTCATCAGTCATCAAACGCTGTGGACGATAGGGTTGGAGGGCCCATAGTTGACCTTTCCCATCGAGGCCTGGTGTCTATACCATTCTTGGACTTCCGCTCCACCCTAGTTAGTTTATACCTTCAGGACAATAAACTTACAGGGGAGCTGCCTCATCTGGGAGAGCTGCCGAATCTTCGTAATCTCGACTTGTCGGATAATTTGCTTTCTGCCGTGCCTGAGTATTGTCTCGAGAGATGCGTCTCTCTTGCCCGAGTCAGTCTCGCGAACAATCCACGCCTCGTATCTATACGTGGTCTCCACGAAGTTAGGCGGACCCTGAGAGCTCTCGATGTGTCCGGCTGCCCTAGCTTGGCCAATATGTGGCCAGTGGGCTTCAGTCTGAACTTGTCGGTCCTCCTTTGCGACAAGGGTGATCTCTCAGAAGACCAAGGGTTTGTGTGCCATAAACAGCCTCGAGGGATTGGCGCTGTAGAGAAGAGGCTCTATTGGGAGGAGGCAGGGAGGCGCTTAGAACAGTACCGGCTGGAGCAGCAAGAGGGATACCATTTTGATACTTATGACGACCCCGATGTAACTCCTCGAGGTAAGGGCAATGGGCTCTGCGTCCGAACGCCGGAGTGGCACTCACAACGGTGTAGCGAACAGTGTCGCGGCGCCGAGTATGTTGTTATGATGGATACCCCAGCAGTGGATGAGAATGTTGATGATGGCCGCATCAGCGCTGATTCGTGGGAGGACAGGGGAGAAGTGACGCCCTCAAGGACATCAGAACAGTTAGGGAGGCGGGGCTTCGAAAATGAGCGAGCCAGGACTGTATCAGACGCTCAGTATATGCAAGGCCTCCCCCGCAGCAGGAACCGTGATGTGCCTAGTCACTGCTGTAAGGAGCGGAGAGGTCCACGACCTCCTCTGAGGGGTGGTAGTGGGAGTCGGAAAGGCCTAGCGGCTGCGATGAGCTGTGAGAGGAGTCGTCGATGCCTCATATTTGCGGCGAGAGTGGCGGAGGTGTGTTTGGCCGCACATTACCGCGACAAGGCGTTTGCTCTTGGTATGCTCGCGGAAGGCTCGAGCAGATTTCGGAGGGAGTTGACGAGTTCTCAAAGGCGAGGTCATGGGACCGCGGAATATTTAGGTCCTTTGGATGGCTCTGGGCACGCGTACGATCCAAAATACCAAAATTCTGTCGAATCAGACAGTTCTAGTGCTTCTTCAAGAGCTGAAGGGGCTATGGTCCATCATCGTGTGAGGCAGGTAGATGTTGTGCAACTAGTAGGGAGCGGTATTTATGATGGGGAAAAGAGTATGTCAACCCTGGGGGGCAGACCTCCGTTGAAACGGCACGCTAGTAGTGTTATGGACCGGACGAGCAGTAGGATGAGCACACTCTCATCTGGGGACGACTTCAAGCGAAGAGCTACAGTTGGGGGATTGGGTGACCGGAAGAGCGTAGAAGTATTGCAGAGGAGGCCTGGTAGTATGGTAACGTCCTCATCAGAGCGATTCCGGGATGATGGCTCCGAGATGGTTCGACAAGTGCCTCTATGGCTGGTCGTGGTAGTGTGGAGGTACTACCCAGTCGGGCCAGGAGATCGATCGATTCA